GTGTATAAGTGTGTGTGTGTGTGTGTGTGTGTGTGTGTGTGTGTGTGTGTGTGTGTGTGTGTGTGTGTGGGTGTGTGTGTGTTGTGATGAAAGACATGTCATTCCCGTTTATGACAAAAAAGGAAACAAAACGGTCGTCGGTCGCGATCTGAAAGAGAGAATCTTACCCGGTTATTGATATAGGGAGAAGAATATTCACATTATTGTCTTTTCCTTTGGTCCGTATGAACAAGTAGTTAATATACATTTTGTTACACCAGATAGGGTTATGCAATACCACCAATAAAATCAGGCTCAAAGTTCTGTATCCAATCTGTTGGTGAATTACGGGATACCTTGTGTTTTAGGATTAAACCGTTGCAAACCCTTCTTCAGACATTGGGTGTAGGGTTAATTATTTATCTAATATATTTCAAATGTGGAACTTGTTCAACATTTTCACCTTCTCTTTTGAGATTATTATTATAATATTTATATTTGCCCTTTTGTATTACCATGAATTCTTTTTTTTTTAACATTAAAAAATAACCAGCTTCGTCTACTTTCCGTCACACCTGTATGTTATAAGAGCAGAACTATAATTGTAGGTGCATTCTTAAATCTGCAATGAACATTGTTTTATCAGCATATCCGATGATATTTCTATTTTCTCGGTTCACTTGGATGTTCTATATGTCTTAAGAACCTTTCACTGAATGTCAAGAAGTGTTCAAAAAAAAACAACCCTAATCTACAGCGTAAACTAGACGTGTTAACAGGTGAAGATTGCTAGTTTATTCCAAGGAAATGCAGACCGCTAGATGGCGCACTGGACAGAAGGTACTTGAGGTTTTGAATTGCGCAGACAGGATCGACTCTGAAAAAAAAGCTTCCCACTGTGTTTCTGTTTTACATTCCTGATCTGACAAAAAGTGTTTTCTTAAAGCGTGAAGTCATAGAGAGCGAAGTGGTGGTATCCCACTATAACTCTACGTCAATAAATGTAAGAGAAAGTCTATCAATATTCAACTTCAACTTAGAAGGCTAGAGGTGAATGAGTAGATATTGTCTCTTGATCTTACTTTTAAATTTGTCTTTTCAGTTGATGTCAGATTTTATGAAGCGTATCCTGTCAAAACTATTGAGTCTCTTGGTGTAACTATCCAGATAAAATATTAATAATAATAGCGAGAGAAGACGTTTTTTGCCTTTGCAAATGCTGCGGATCACATTCATTTAGTTTGGGATATTTGTTAGGGCGTGATCGGACTGTAAGGATAGATCCCAGCAGGCGGCTCTCATGGTTTAGATGTTACGGTATTCGCCTATCTTTCAATAGGGCCTGATTTCGAAACCTGGCAGCGACGGGAAATTTTCTTCTCTAAAACTATGTCCTATCACCTCCTTTGCTTTTCTCTTAACACGTTTTGTCGTCTGCTTTCATCTTTATATTTTACCCCCCCCCCCTTCTTTCTCCAGCTTTCCTACAGCTACTCCTTGGCCTCCTCTTACTGCTCTGCCTTTCAGGCACACCCTTGATCTTATGGTAGGTACGATTTAACACCTAGCCTTCTCAGATAAGGGCGAAAAATCTCGGACATCCCCTGTACAAGTTGCGTACGTTAAAGATTCCTTATTGGTCCAAAATCAAATTACATGTATTTCGTCCCCCTTTGGAAATCGAAGTAGCATTTTACGGGTAGTTGGTGGACAGCTTAACCATTACTTCTCAAAATATGCCAGTAACTGAGTAACTGAGTAACGGTGCTTCAGGTTGAAAGACTGAAAACAAATGTTAATAGAGGTGCAGGTTATTGTTACATTATTTCTTCAGTGCGTCCAGCTCATACGCTTGGAGAATTTTTACACAGTAGTAACATAGAAAAAGTGTGATACGAAGATGTTCTCAATCAAGGGAAGATTGTTTTTCAAGGGTTGGTGATAAAATTATTATTGGATTGGGGTTTGGCAGGGGAAGAGAACTTTACTGGGGAGGGGGTGGGAGAGATACGCATAAATGTATCGAAATGTTCTGATCCATGAACCAAATACTCTAAAGCTCCATATGTATGTCATCGTCAGGAAACTGATTTTATATGCATTATACACGAACAAAAGTAATTTGCTGCTGGTTAATCTGGTAGTGCGGATGTAAAGAAGACAGATTGAAGGTGGTGGTCTTGGAGTGATGACTCACTTTCGTCTGTGGTCTTCACAACATGACATTCTGTCTCATTATCAGAAACGATCCGCGATGAAAGATTTATGGACATCTTTGAGTTCTGAATAGGCCCTTTTGAAACCAAGCTTCTTTTCCAGCACCTTGATTACATTTCCATTTACCGCATAAAATTAAACAGTCACAGAAAGAAAAGATAAAATGGTAAAAGTTTAACACCCCTATAAATACTATAGGGTTATAAGAGATGAGACATCCGAGTTGAACGTCCATCTCCGAAAGGGCGGAGCCAAAAGGGGAATTCGTGTAAAGTGCATTTCCAAAGAATTCAACGTCGGACCAAGTTAAGGCTCGAATTCCCAAACCTGAAATTTCACGAGTATGGGTCCAGTAGCCTAACCGCTCGGCTAGCGACGCCATTAAACAGAAAGAGAAGACGGAAGACAAATAAAAAAGTAAAAAGTTATTGTGACAACGACTTTTTGACAGTCTTAATTCCAGGCGTTAACATTGTATTCCTAAGACTCCATCTTTGCAAGAAAAGGCTGATTCATATCAGTTTCTGCTCATAAACTCTACATGCCCAAACATTCACAAGTGCCTGATTTCACCACGCTGCCTCACATATAATATATTATAATATCATTTATCACAAAATATGAAACCATTCAAGCTAGAGCTCTCGACTCTACTTTAGTAAGTAAAAAATTGTTTCTAAACTAACTTCTGCCCATGCACCATTTGTCTCTAGTTGATTCACCTTCGGTGATGCCTGTTAGAAGAGTCTTTTCTGTTGCTCACAGAGACACTGGATCTATTTGTAAATTACATGTAGTCATGGATCTGAAATGAGAAATCTATTTTCAACCACATCGTTATTGGTGATAATAATAACAACACTACACCATTCTCGTGAGAAAGGGCCGTTAGTTACTTTATCGCTTTATTTAACGTAGTTCATTAATTATCATCTTTTCAACAATGCAGATACTTTTTTCTGTCAGTGGCCATAAAAAAGTATCTCCTTACTCAGTGGCTGTGCTCAAAGATTTTTAAATGTAAGACAACTCCAGTTTAGCGCTACAAGCAGAACAAACTTCAAATATAAAAAAGAGAAAAGAATACATCAATTCGAAAAAGCTAGAATAATCAAAGATGTTTTTAAAAAGTATAACAATGGAATACTTTTGCTTCGCTCGTCACAAAAAAGGAAAGAAAAAAAAAGAAAAAAAAAATCATAAAGAATACAGTCAGAAGAACATTTTTAAGACCTTGCTTACTTAAAGCTTTTGGTGTCCTAGCTTAGTATTGTTATACCGGGTGCCCACTGCTGTTGGGATCGGATCGGGTCTGATCGATCGCCCGACTCGTCGCCTGAAAACAAACGTGTTTGTTTTTGAGGCGACGAGTCTGGTGCGGTCCGCCTGTGCCACGTTAGTCACTTAATGCTATTATCTGGCTAACTAACCGACCCGACACGACACGACAGATCCCCCAATGGGCACCATGTATTAGAAATACGCGTGAACACTGAACTGAAAATACAACACGCACCGAGGATCACAAAGAGGACACCGTCTTCCCAGAGTTTGTTTCTCAATGCAAATTTCAAATTAATTTGCTCTTCAATGCACAAACGCAATATTATTATGGTTAATCTTTATGAAATTGTAAGTTTTTGGTTTTACTCAATTTTGATTGAAATTTAAAACAAAGAACACACAAAAATTCTTTTCTTTAGATTTCTTAAGAATATTTGTCAATTTTCTTTGTCTATTATAAATTTGGCAACTTGAAAACACATGTACATGTGTGACAGTTACAGATTTGAAAATTGGCAAGCACCTGCAAAAAAAAATAGATAAGTCCCCATGACGGGCCCCAGTTTTTATTTATTCATTTCCTTAATTTAGAAACATATATTTGGCAAAAAGTTCCCATCCTTCTTTGGCCTTTGTGATTATTTCACTGAGGAACGAAACAAATCTGCGTAGAGCTGTCCTTCACGGCGGAAGTGCCGGAAATGATATTTCATGGGGAACATTTTGTTTTGAGAGTAAAGATCTAGACTCTCCAATATCGAAGACTTAGGTACTCCCACATTGGGGTCTACGTAGTCATGGTGTCTAGGTGGACCCCAAAAATGTTGGATTGTGATTGGCTCACTGAGCGAGCGGTAGTTTACATTGGTTACAATGCAAGGCTGCTAGGCCTACTTACTGATCATCTCGGGTAGTATGTCTATCTTGTGTTACTATAATTAATTTATTTTAGCCAAAAGAGAGAGAGAGAGAGAGAGAGAGAGAGAGAGAGAGAGAGAGAGAGAGAGAGAGAAAGAGAGAGAACGATCTTTCTCGTGTACCATCGTCATTACCTGTATGCATATGTCCAGAAAGGGTGCCATTGAAATCACATGCTTCTACATTTAATACAATTAGCTTTCACCAGTGTTGTCGATTGCTGTACCGTATAAAATATTACATAATGTATTAGCCAGCAGTCAACTTTTTACCAAAACACCCCCTCAGAAAAAAAAAGAAAAAAAAAAGAGTGGCCAACAACCTACTTCTAATCAAAACAGCCCCCCTCCCATTTTTCCAAATTAATAAAAAGAAAACTGAGTGAGTAAAATGGCCAGCTCATTGCTTTTGAAAGGTTGTCCTTGACAGGCACAGTCGGAAGCCTGCCTCCTAAATGATCTTAATTGTGTCGATGAGGGTGTAAAAACATCT